CATTGACAAAATAAGATTCCAGTCTCAGAAATGTGAGGTGCACTGACTTCAGCTGCATTCAGTTCCTACTGCGGTGACTCTAAACTGTTGATTTTTAATTTTACATCACAGGAAACACCTGCTGTACGACTAATAAGTGCCGTCATTACTGCACGGCGTTGAATCATTTAAGCGATATTGCAGGTGAAAGGGTGAAAACCAGCAGCATCTCCTGTCACAGACGTTCACGGCACCAAATATGAAACCCGCTGAAAGGAACGGTGGAGAAAGAAAGCCCTGCCGAGAGCTGTCAGCAGACAAGTGTGTGGGGAGAGGAGAGAAAGAAAAATCTAATCAGACGACAAAGACGGAGGTCAGAGTGAAAAATGTATAGGAGCGCTTTGCTGTTATTTTATCATTTAAGCAGAGCTGCTGTTTATTCAGCGGCTGGCGAGTTTTCACTTCAAATGGAACAGAGAGAGGAGCGAGCGCGCCGCACATCAAATAGAATGTGAAAGAGAGAACAAAAAAAATAAAAAAATAAATTAGAAAAAAAAAAGAAAAGGGCCCCTCGCTTCCTACTTACATCAAACGCCGGCGCTGTGGGTGCCAATCAGCTGCACAAACTCCGATGGTTTTGCGGCGAGCGGAGCACAAACCCGCCTGTCGAGGAGGCAGAACGGAGCTCATGACCTCCCGAGAAGCCTTTTTTATTCATAAAGTCTCCTGAAAGGCTTCGACTTACACATCATGAAGGTTTTTACCGCAACAAAAAGCCCACTTTGTCTTATCTTAATGACTTTTTTTCTTCCTTGAAAGAATGAGAAGCTTCTGTGTTTTAAAGAAGTGAAACCAAAAAGTCAATCTGAAGCTCAGAATGTGTGTTTCAGATGAACTTGCTGGGTTATTTTTGGTATGTTTTTATGCTTCGTAAATGTGTGCAGGGTTTATGAAAATGTAAAAAATAAGTTTCTTCATTCATGGACCCCCCTCTGCTTGTGTGTCACAGCTGCTCGGCGCTAACTCGGCCCGGTCGGCGAGGAGCAGCGGACCGCGACGCCTTCGGTGTCACCGCCTCGGATCGATGGCGAGGCCGCGCCAGGACGAGGTCGCGTGACCCGCCGGACGAAAGGTGACATTGGCTGATCCGCCGGGCGCTGGCCAGACAGCCGGCACCGGTCGGCCCAGCTGGACTGGGGGTAGGTGGAGGGGGTCGGGCTGACCCGAGCCAGGCGGCCTGGAGCTGCTAGAGCCACTGCTGCTGCTGCTGCTGCTGCTGCTTCCAGCTAATTGGGGACCGGCTGGGCTGCCAGTTCTTTTCCGAGGGAAGTAGGTGTTGGCTGCTAGGAAAGTTGCTCCGAGTTGCCAGGTGACGTCATCGTGTGTGAGAGACGGCGGCGGCAGCAGCAGGAGAAGCAGGCAGACGATTTATTTCAGCGACCGCACCGGCACATAGAAATACTCTGTTAGGTAACTACTTCTGCAGAGATGCTGCACCAGCCTGATTCTACATATTAACCCCGTGAACCCTCTTCTGCTCCTGTCACAACTTTACGCATTTCTCGCTGCGATAGAAACTCCTGCACCTCTATGGAAACAGCACAGCCTTGACTAGAAGGAGAGGGAACTTTCTGCAGCTACACACAGTTATAACAGCAGAAATCATAAAGAAAAAAAAAGATTGAGTTTCTTTGATTGCTTCTTTGATAAAAATAGAATAAACCTGCAATCAACACTTTCTCCAAGTTCCCAGAGGAGCTACCAAAAGAAATCGTGATCCAACATATGATAGATATTTTTAGATTTTGAATTTATTTCTATTCTTTACTCCTCTTTGTTTCGTCAGAACACATCCTGCAGTTCAGACGAAAACTTCCTGAATTTTTCTCACGAGTCTGTCGGTCGTAGCCGAGTCACTCGTGGCTTCACGGTTTCACCGAGAAATGCAGAATTTTTCCGTTTTTCCACAATCTGGTTAAAGCAAACTGTTTATTTTTGGCATTTTTTTTTTTTAAATGAGAAAATAAATTGATTACTAACAGAGATCAGAATTTTAGGCTCAGATTTGGGCACGATTAACTGGCACGTTCAAGGCCTGTTGGAAATCGGACAAATCGTTCTGTTTTTATATTTCTGGCTGATAAATAGTGTAATTTTGGCGTTATAAGAAAAAACAACCTACCAGCAGATTTTGAGCTTCAGTTTGAACTATTTAGAATCTAGTTAGGGTCCATCAGTGTTTCCCAAACTCCCCTCCACAGAGCCACACGTATTTGTGGGTGTAACTTTAATCTATATAATTTTGGGTTGTATGTTTTAATTTTCCCTCTTGACAGGCAATCCCCCTTTAATATTTACTTGCATTTGTCGCCCCCTACGTTAAAGACATGGAGGAGAAACCACTGCAACATAATTAAAGACTAATCCACCGAAAGTTTGATGGAGAAAAGGAATAAATTGGTGCATAAAAATTCACCAGAATGCAGAAAATTAAGCAATTAATTTCCTGGACGAGGACACCTGGATCCCTGCTGAAGGAATGCAGGCCAGTAATTCTGATTATGAGTAGAATTATAAAATATAATTAAAGCAGAATACTAAACTGCAGTACAGGTATTTAAGCGCAGTAGTTAGTCAAAGCAGCAGCTACTTCTCGACGTTTCTTTCGTCTTTTCGGTGACCCGGTGCGAGAATCAGAAGCCGCTGACAGTAATTGGAGCTTCACAAACATTTGCTTCATGCAGAGTTTTTTATTTAAGGGAGGAATGTTCCCATCGGTTGAAGGTCAGCGGGTGAAGTCGCAGGTTTTCTGGATGTGTGATGCCAAAGTAAAGGTCATGAAAAAAAAATGTGAGCGAGGAGGAAGCAACGGGGCCACGGTCTGTGGAACCACGTCGGACTCAACGATAGGACGACGGAAAGTTCTGGTTGTGGTTGAAATGAAGAGACTTTTATCAGATTACACATCAGGAGCTGCACAAAGTAAATGACAGCAAAGGTTTTAGCTTCTGTAAGCCTATTGAGGGATGTAAGGAGTCTTAATTAAAACATGTGTACAGATGTTTCAGCCCTGAAAGTCAGAATATCTGACATATCAGCAATAAAAGCTCACTGTAAAAAAAACAACACAAAAAAAAGTGAAAGTCTTACAACAAAGATGCCACAAAAATATGTTAAAAAGTAGTGCAATAGTGTAGATTTCAAAGGCTTAAAATAATTGGAAATATCTGTTAACTTTTTGTGTTTTTAGCTGATTTAAATACAGTGAGGTTTTTTATTATTATTATTACATAAAATAAAGAAAAAGATTTTTGATGTGGACTTTTTTCCCTCAGCAACATGTAAAATAATCATTTTTATTTTATTTTATTTTTTACAAGTTGTAATCGAAGAAAACAGGGAAAACCTGTAAAATAGTGGTTAAACTTTTCCTTCTGTTGATTTATTTCCATAATATGCACAATTTTCTTTCAAATAATGACAAATATCTTTAAAATAAAAACATTATTGCTGATATAAATACAGTAAACCTGTAGTTTCACGGTAAATGTTTCCATTTATTTAAAAAAAATACGGATTTTTGATTTATTTCATTTTTTTATTTACAGTTTTTGTCATTTTTTAAAACCATTTACTGATAAATTAAAACTTTTTTTGTAGGATTTTTTAAAATAATTATCTGTTATTTAACAAAACATAGTCAATGTTTAAAATAGTGGTAAATTCTTCTTTTTTTTTTAATTACACTTTTTTTGAAGTTCTTTTTGCTGTAGTTGTATTTTTATCAGTGTTTTGAGTATTTTTGGTTTCGATGGAGAGGTCTGTTGATTTATACTCAGACTGATGCAGATTGGCCTGCAGGCTAAATGTCATAACTGAATGTGTCTGATAACATTTCAATAGATCGTTAAGCTTCTGTAATGTCCAGAATTCATCTTAAACAAGTCGGAGCAAAGAGCAGCCAGATGAGTGAGTGAACATTTCCATTTTTCATTCACACCGTTTCCTCTCTCAGTCAAGTTTCACTGCAGCTCAACTAATCCTGATTAAAAAGAAAACCTCAGGGGAAGTCATTGTGTTTGGAGTTCTGTATCTGACGGGAACAGGCCTTTTGAATCTGTGTCCAATCCCCTTTTTGTTGCTGCTTGATTTAGTGAAATTAAAAGCGCCGTGGCAGCAGGTGGAGCTGGGAGTTCGGCCCAAACCTCCTGCCACTGTGTCACTGTGTTTCATCATCACAGGACTCTTATTATTTGCTTCAGGTGCTTCTGCTGACATTAGCCTCAGCGCCGGAGGTCACGGCGGTAAATAATGAAAAACTCGTTGCCATCATCCTGCCACACCTCGCAGTGATGCCGAACCCCCCCAAAAAATAAAATAAATGTGTTTCTATGGGCAGCTTTGGACACCAGAGTCAGACTTGGAGCATCTGTTCCTGACTGCAGTGCAGACTGAGTTAACCTCCACCTAACACCGTCCACCCTGCCTGCCTTCACACCCCCATACATGTGTGTTTCTCTATACTTATGTGTGCAGCCAGGACTCCCAGGAAGGCTGCAGTGGTCCATCCAGTGAATTCAACTGATTTGGCTGCAGAGCTCCTTTGCTCTCACGCTTCACTCGGGAGTTTACAGATTCTGCAAGTTTTCAGAAACAACTGAGAGGCATCACTGTCAGAAAATGACACAGCGATGCAGATCAGACCATCTGAAGTCTATTAGTGGAAGACAGTCAAGTGAATACATTAATATGCTTATTTTAGGACTGCATAAAGGCTTTTTTTCCCCCTCCTTCTGAGACAGATTAAGGAGCCCGTTACATCGACCTCCACTCCTTATTCCTGTGATTGTTTCAGCTCTGGTTGGACATTGACTCTGATGCTCCACAAGCGCAGCGGCTCGGAGCTTTTTCCGCCCCTGGCCGTGCGCACTCGTCGGCCGGAGAGGGGTGGAAACTCTCCCCCTCCTCCGGCACCCCGGAAACAGGGCAGAGAAATCGGGTGTCGCTTGAGAGGCTCTTACCTGTAATTGTCCCACTCCCTTCCCGCACCTTAACGCCCTTTTTTAAACCATCGGTGGGGCTGCTGCTACAATCCAGTGGCGAGTCTGTGCCGTGGAGACATTTGCGTCCTGGACTGGCGGAGAGAAGGAAGAAAACGGGAGTGGTGGCTTTGGTTTTTTCTCTCTCTCTTCTCTCCTACGTTGGAAATCACGATTATTCGTCTTTTAGCATCTCATCCACCGCCACACTTAAAGAGTCTCCCGCATCCGAACCTCCTGCTTCGTTTTATTCCGACGGGTCCAAGGCAGAAGCCGATCGGGCTGATAATGAGCTTTAATTGCGTCCCGTCGGTCTTTTTGGGTGACGGACACCCAGCGGATCAGATGTCACGCGTGAAATGAATAAAATGTCAAAGTATTGGATCCAGGTCGACCACTTGAGCTCCGAGTCTTTGCTCCGCCGCGTCTCTTCCCAGTCTGACAGCTCCGCTCGGTGCGCACTAACTTTTATGGAGACTCCAGAGCGCACGGCGCGCCGCCACTACCTCAGCAGTAATCAGATTACTGCCACGGATTTCTGGCGTTTTTAACTATGATGTACATCGTCCGTGATAGTTAATCATGAGGCATGTTTATTTAGCTTAGATTAAGATGAGCAGAACACCGAACTGATGTTTAAAAACCGAAAAAAGTGCGCATTTTTCGTTTTAATGAGGATTAACGGGGGAAAAAAAGCCAAAATTTTTCTCTTTTTCTTTCGTTTTGTTTTCGGCAAAATAAAGCAAATGTAGTGCAGTTAATCCTGGCTAGGTCTCATTTGGTGAAGCAGGACACACAAATGATGGATAATTAGTGTTAATTTGCATTAATTACTAAATCTCAGTGCCAATAATCTCCCATTAAGACATCAATAAAAACCACCTACATTCACCTGTGTCCATCTTCTACCAGCTCTGACAACCTTCTGAACTCATATAAAAGACTCTTTAATCAGGTGAGCTGCAAACATTTAAGAGGCCTCCTCCAACAAATCTTGTCCACTAGTGCCATCATGTGGATATTTGGTGCAATAGCAGGAAAAAAAAAAACTGGTAAATGTCTTGAGTTTAACACACAGTTTGATCAAAAATGTTTATTCCATGGTGAAAACATTCCTGTCACACGTATACATCCAATTTTCCTTTTTACAAACAGCATAATTCCATGGTATAATGCATGTGAGGAGATGGGAGAAAAAAAAAAAAGAAATCATAAAAGTGACATAAGCACAAAGTGATTGGCTTTTGCAGCTCAGGAATAAAAGGGAACACTTAGAAAGTCCTTTCGGCTCCGTCCGTCGGAAAAAATCGAAACCTTCTTTTTGCTTCAGGATAATATCGTCCGAAGGCAGAAAGGGTTAAGAGAGATCAGATTTCGTTTGGCTCTCCTGCGTTGGACTGACGCGAACGAACGTCCACGCGTTCTGGATTAAACGTTGATTCTTCGAGCTGCTTCTGAAAGGCATCAGCGGCTGTAGTAGTAAATAGTTCATGGACTCTGTTTCCCCAGAGTTCCTCAGCACTCCTCCTTGATGTAGATTTGTTCGTATGAGTCCGTCTCCAGGTGCTCCAGGCGGTCCGTCTGTCCGTTCATTATCTCGTCGGGGGTTTTCATGAACCTGGGGAACAGGACACAGATGACAAACATGTAGAAAATTATTTTAAAAATATGCACCGATCAGCCACAACTTTAAAACCTGCTGCCTAACACTGCACAGGTTCCACTTGTGCTGCCGAAACACCACTGAGACCTGGACTCTGTGGACCTCTGAAGGTGTTCTGTGGTATCAGCTAAGACGCTAGCAGCAGAGCCTTTAAGTCCTCGGAGTTGCGAGGTGGAACTTTCATGGATCTCTGGTTTTTCCAGCACATCCCACTGATTCTCAATCGGACTGACATCTGGAGGCCGAGGCAACACCTTGAACTCTTTGTCGAACTTTTTAAACCATCTCCGAACAATGTTTGCAGTGTGGAACGAACTTTGTCCTGCTGCCATGAAGGGCAGTATGTGGTCAGCAACAGTGTTTAGGCAGATGTCAAGGTAACATCTACACGAATGCAGGATCTCTCCGACTTTGCTAAATGTGTGACGCCTCGTGTTTGTCCCAGTGTCAAATCGTCAAGTGTATGAAGGCTCTGATGCGGATTATTCAACATTACTATGCGCCCTTTTCTGTAAATCCACATATCTGCCGGCTTTGCTGAAGAACTTGTCCGTAGTTCAGAGTTAAACTAGTGACATATAATGGTCAGTTCATGCTGTCCATGGACAAACAGCCAAATTTAGACAAGTGAAAGCAGCTCTGTAGAGATTGGGCTGTAGCACCATGTTGGTAAATAGTCTTGAGGTTTTCTGAGTATAGTGGGGGGACACAACACAGGATATCTGGAGATATTAGAACTTCCCACTGTGTTTAGGCTCTGTTGACAGAAAGCATGGACTAATCAAAGCACTTCCAAAGTCCAGCAGCGACTACTTCAGTTACAACTCTGTGAATGATGAATTATAAAGGTGTTGATGACTGACAATCTCCGTACGGTCTCTCCTCAAACCAAGCATTAGTCTTTCAACACTGTTTGTTTTCCTAGCACATGTGCAGTCAGCTCGCTTGTAGTGCCGACTTCCCTCGCGACTTTGGGTGGACGACGAAATGTACGTCATATGCACCCTTGAAATATCATGAATTGGCCTAAACGTGATTTTCCTGCACTCCACAAGATGTGCACAAATAAGTCTGTAATGGTCGGCATCTGTTTACTCGCTGTTGTGGATATTTGTTGCAGAATTGTTTGTATTTTCAATCCATGTAGGATTTACAGATGTTTGTGGTTTTTCTGACTTTTGGAAGTTTGCTAAGCTCATCGTATGGGAATGAAACGCGAGTCCGAAATGACTGTTTTTAATTGCGATGTGCCGTCATGCCCGTGTATCCCATTCCACCATGTAGTACCCTCATGAAATCAGCAACTTGAGCCCTATAGCTGTGACGTCAGTTAAACTTTTCAGCAGCTCTTCTTCTACACTTTTTCTGCACCAGCCTTCCTTCCCCACGTGGACCAATGGGTCTTTGGTGCCCATGACTCTCTTGCCGGTTGCCATGTTGTCCTTCCTGGGTTTGGAAATCACTGGATACCAGCAACACCTCACAATCTCTGCTGTTTTGGAGATTCTCTTGCCCTTTTTTCCATTGCAGTTTGTTAAAATCGCCCATTTTTCTTGTTTCCAACATGTTCCAACTTCACAAACTAACCGTTTAGTTGCTGCCTAATACAACCCACTTGCTGACAGGTGCCATTGTAACGAGATTATCAATGTTATAATCAGTGTTCGTCACTTCACAAACGGCTTGACGGATTTGAAAAGCTTTTTTAAATCCCATCTACCTGAATAGAAGTCTTTGTCCAGGCTCTTTCCTGATAATGTTGAGTTTGTAGTAGTGTCTCAGTGCTCGCGACATCTTCTCGTACGTCATGTTGGTCCTGTTCTGTAAGAGTCAGAAGAGCACAAGTGTCATTAGCAACAATAACAGCGTGCTACTGATGTGTGAAAAGGATATTTTCAGCATTTTTAGACTCTCTGTGGCACTTAGAGTTGCTTCTGTTGATTTTTTTTTGTCCACTTAGGGTCAGAAAAGCAGCCTGACATAATATTCATTACCTCAATTAGTTAAAAAGTCGATAAAATTACACAGTGTTTGTTCAGGTAAACCGAAACAATGAGCTACAAGAGGCTAAACCGATTATGACTAACACTGTTTATACTATAATCTGATCTGTTGTTAACATGAAAGGTGCTGATGAGTGCAGCCTGAAAACCCCGTCACTGGAATTATTAAACTTGTATTAATTATGTGTTGGTCACATGGGGGCAGTAGAAACAAGCTGCAAACAAATGACTAAACACAAGGCAATTTAAACACCCAGCTGATAAGCAGTGATTTGGCTTTTTACCCCCCAACAACACCTGAGGGTTATACCTGGCTGTTATTGGGCACAAATTAGAGCATAACAGAGCAAAACAGTGAGCTAAAAGTTAGTTAAAAAAGCTCCAGAGCTAACATTGAACTTCAGGGTTGGTGGCATTTCTCTGTGAGTTCAGGGCTGTTTTCAGTTTTCAGGAGTTTGTGACAAAGACGTTTGGGTTGAACTGCAGGCTGTGTTTACGCAAAGCAGATGTAAATATAAATAGTAAAATATCTACAGTATGCAGTGCCACCATGTTTGTCTCCCAGTCTTGGTAACGTCTGTAGGCACGTCGGAAAGTGTTGTACCGTAAATAAGCCGCTACTTTTTCACACGCTTCGAACACTGCAGCTTGAGCAACGATGCGGCTAATTTATGGATTTTTACGAGTTTCATGAATTTGCCGAAAGAGAGAGTGTGGAAGTGACGAAGTAATTCTGAAGCTGTTTAACTCCAACACTGAAGAAGACGACTTTAGTGGTTTTAGTGCAGGAGGAAGATGAAGATAGTGATCAATGACTTTTCCTGGTGGGCTACTGTAATTTTAACTTTCTTAACCAGCCGTGTTACAGGAAAAAAGCATTTACGTATTTGTGTACGTTACCTGTACGTATTTAATTAAAAGTTTAAAAATCTTTCTGTGTAAATATCTCACGTTACAACGTGGACACCCGCAACTTATAGACAAATGCGGCCCGTATATGTACAAAACTTGGTTTCTTTTTAAAGTTAGTGGGTGCGGCTTATACTCAGGTGCTCAATAGTCCGGAAATTACGGTACATGTTGATTCGAGGTTTTTCAATTTTTGTAAAACAAGAGTAGAATAGAAAAATACTTTATTTATCCCAGGCTTTTGTTTTATGTTTTACATGATTTATGGCATTGAAGCTCACTTAAACTAAACAGAAGACACTTTATTATTGTCTTTACTTGTAGTTGTGTTGTTCCAATATGGGTGCAGGACTTTTTATGGCGGTGACAAATGAGGCCACAGTGAGTAAAATACACCCAGAAACTGTCTCCTGGTGGTTCAGCAGGTAAACAGTTGTAGAAAAAGCTTCGTCTTTCGTCGTGTTCGAAGACGAAAACCAAACTCCCGCTGCTGGTCCTGTGTGTTTACCTTGTGGTTGCCCCAGAGCCTGGCCAGGCCGTTGGGGTCCAGGATGCGGAAGACTTTGTTCTCCGGATCCTCCCAGCGGATGTAGTTCTCGTACCTGCTGTCCGACAGGAGCTGGTAGACGTAGTCCCACAGCAGCCTGCAGTCTGAGAGCA